CCAACCCGACCATATATGTCATGACTCATGCGTGTAGCAATTAGGTGGGGATATATAAGGGAATTGGAGTTCCCAAAATTAGGGTTCCTCTTTTGCTGCTCTTTCTCTTCGGGCGGCCGCAGCAATCTAAAATGGTCCATCCATGGACCTAGTTCTTCTTTCCTCTCTACCCCATAAATCCACCACTACCAAAGTCATCACCGGGAGCACAACAAGCTATACAACCCATTCTTCTTGCTTGGCGCTTGCATCGGCCAAAACGTCCCACCCTCCCAGCGCAGTAACTCCAGCTTAGTAACGCAACTGTAATCCGACATTCCTTGACGCAGTCATTTCCTAGTTCCAAATCGATTCAAGGTAATAGAAAACTTCTATCTTAGGGTTTCTTTTCTCTCCCTCATGCAAAATGGCTTGAGTTCATTATCACTTGATTTACCCAAACGTATAGCTAATTTGAGTTCATTATAGGGTTTATGTACATCTATATATGTTTGTTTAACTGAAATAACAGCTCAGTCGAAGAGAATGCTATGTTTTTACTACATTTAGTTAGAACCATGTATAACTATGAAAAGTGAAAATCGTCAATCAACCTCTGTAACCTTAAACCATCTGTAAGAGGAACCTCTTCAAATGCTGTAAATGTCTATGTTGTATTTGGGGCAAGGATTTGTTTTGCTCCTCTTTTATTTGTAGTGTGTGCGTGTTTGTGCATTCATGTTGGTGAGAGTTGGTGTGAAATAAATTTGTTTAGTTTTTTAAGTACCAACACAAATCTCCTACCAATATATCACGATTTGTTTAAACATTTTGGCATTAAACTAATGGGGTTCTCTAATATTGTAAACTAACTGTATCAAGGCTTTGGGTGCTGATTTCCAGCTTTTTGAGATGCAAACAGCACATAAGTATGAATTATGTAACAAAGACAATATAATTAGTTACCTTGATGTATTATTTGTGAATGATGTAATGAAGGCACTCTTAGTTAGAGGTGGCAATTGGATCGGATTCGTGGATCCGTGGATCGGATTCGTAGATCCATGGATCAAATGGATTGGATCCAATGGATTGGTGGATTCATGGATTGGATCCAATGGATTGGTGGATTGATCCATGAATCCAAATAACATCCAAGGCTTGGACCAAAATGTAAATTTTGAAAAGTTTAGGTACTAAAATGTCATAATAAAAAATTTTAGGTACCAAAATGTAATTTTCCAATGATATTTTCGTATAAAAATATAAATTTTAGGTACCAAAATGTAAAATATAAAAAATATAGGTATCAAATCGTAATTTTCCATTTGGATCCGTGGATTGATCCATGAATCCACCAATCCAATTGGATTTGGATCAAATGGATTGAATTTAAATGGATTGGATTAGGTGGATAATTTGGTGGATGGATTGGATTGGATTCATGGATTTGGATCCTAATTGCCACCTCTACTCTTAGTAGTATGATTTCCCCAATATATATATGATGTTTACTAGAACCTAATCTGCCATATATTATCTATATGATTGTTTATGAACAGGTGTATAATCGTATTTCCTTTTGATATAAGTATTGTTTTGTAGTGGTTGCTTATATGTACTATCACAGGTTTCGTTGCTGTTGAATTGGGTGGTAATATGATACGATAATGTAAGTTTGGAACTTATTGAATGAATTATTGATTTGGTAATTAGGTGTCACCCAAACCGAAGGCGCACCCGACCCGACCCAATGTTAATCAAACCGATAGGGTTGTATATTTTGTGGGTGGGTTGGGGTGTGATTTTGTCCAACCCAAAGTATAAGGGTTGGGTGATAAATTTGAGTTGAATCCCACCCACCCGACCCATGTTCATCCCTAATTACCAATTATGCTAAAGAAATCTTTTGTAACTTTTTAAGTAAAAAATCTAAAAACCTAAAATCTAAAAACCATATGACTTTTCCACTACTGTTAGCTAGCCCACTAACTTTCCCGTAAGTACTTTCTTTGTTATTTGAATTTTGAATTTTCATATTTTGATTATTTTAATTTGAGTTTAATAATAAATTTAATTTATGTATATCTTATAAATGGAGGATAAATTTAAAAATGCAACCCAAATATCTTAACTTGGTATTAATTTTTATAACTATTAAAGCAACGATATTGTTATGCAAACTGTAAGTGACCAGCTTTTATAAAATTTTAGTTTGGTTTACTATTAAATCTTCACTCTCTTAATAATATGGCATGATTGGACAAATGGGTGAGTTTAAGAGAACACAATTTTTGAATACTAATTTTTCTACATGATTTCAATTATTTAAATATTTTATCTTGATAATTGACCATATGTATCATTTATAGTTAATTAGTTTAATATAAAATAACCGTAATACAAGACAAATCATGAAAGTCGAGCTGGTGTTTTCATGGATGCATTGATGTGGTCATGTGCATTAGCAAGGTCGATACCAGAAGATAGGTTTAATTTTTTTGTTGAGTGAATAAGATTGTACTTCAACAAAATTTAGAGTATGCTGGTTGATAAATATTTTTTTCATTGCATAGAATATGGATGGAAAATGTTACTTTCTTACTAATTTTGTTATTGTATTGTGCAGAATACTTTAAGGTTTAGATACTATTATATATGTATTGTTTCTCAAGCATAAGAAATAAATATTGAATAAAGGTTATGATCACGAGTTTCCTATTTATGCTACGCTTTTTTAGACAAACTCTTTTTTTGCTATGTACGTCAATTTTCTTTTCAAAGTGACTACATCATTAAATTGACAAGTTATGAATGGTTATTCATGAGTGTTATAACCAAGGTTGTTATACCTCTACCGGGCGGTTGGTTGGACTAGGTCCGACCAAGGTCGTGTTCCAAAACCGGCTCTACAAAATCAAGTGTCTGATCGTTAGAGAGGGAGAAGAAGAGAGAGGGAAGGGGGGAGGGGGAGAGAGGCAAGAGGATGGTGGGTGGATCTTGAAATGAGTATGTTTTCTTATGGAATTTGAGTTTTTAATAGATATAAGTTATTACATTCCATTTCAGTCACTAAATTTCTATCTTATATGTAAATAGATTTAGAAAAGGTGTAAAACGGCTCAAACAGGTTGGACCTCAATCAAACCATTAAACTTCAAACTACTTGCTTGACCGGCTCAACAACTTGAAACCGGTTTGACAACTTTGGTTATAACAATTAAGCTTACAATGTTCATCATTGATGAAAAGTTATAAGAATTTCGAAAATGGAAAAATTATTTTGATGTCACCTAAATTTCATAAGAAATTAAGCATTTCAAGTAATTAAATTTTTTTAAATACACATCATACATATATTGTATTCAATGACATTCCGACCAACGGACCGGACAACAAGCTTGTTTGTATTTGGATCCCATCCTTGAATTGAAACGTAATTGAGGAATTGAAACGCAAAGGAAAAAGGCATGGTAAATTAATAAAAAATAATTATTTAATAATTACCCATGGGTTTGCAATTAAGAAAAGATATAAAGGAGGGGTAAATTAGTCATTTCCACTACTTCATAACAGCTAATTAACGGAAAATTTGATAGAATGGTATGCTTGTTACGTTTTGATAGTAGAAGGGCACGTTTGTCTGAAAAAATAATAAAAGGGTACATTTGTTAATTCGTAATAGTAGAAGAGTATAAAATGCCATCAAGTACCCTTAAGCAAAACACGACATTAGAAACGAAATGATAATTGGAGGACATATTTGTAGTTAAAAAATAAGCGAGGGTAAATATGTAAACTACCATCGAAACGACCCTTTAGTTAAATAAGTGATTAGTTGATGTAAATCCACATAGCAAACTATCCTTTAGTTAAATAGAGAACATAATGATTATGAATTCATCGAAACTTAATGTTGGGGGAATGAGTATGGGCCAGAGGTCAACCCAAAAGGGAAGGCCCAAAGAAGATTGCTAGATGGGCACAGACTTGAGCCCAACCGGAGAAACCCAAAGAAGCCCACTATGCAAGAACCTTGGGCTGAAAGGCGCGCGAAGGAGGGCCCAAACGGCCAGGGTGACACGTGAGACAGGTGGGACCGGACACCTGGCAAGAGGCGCATGGGACAAAAGACATCAACGGTCCGAAGTGTACGAAAAGCTGATCACATGATGTCATGCGCCTCAAACCTCTGACTGAAGTGTCAGGTGGTCGAGGCGCATGTGCAAGGGTTGTACGGCGCATTTATGGCGGCCTGACTCAGGGTGAGAGCGACGGATACCGGTCGATCTTGCCCCGGGTATAAATAGTGAAATAGGTAAACCTCATTTACTCAGTTTTGCTTCTCTTACTAGAACTGTTCTTCACTTCTCTCTCTAAAAAGAAGGGTTCTCACTTGGGCGTCGGAGTGCTAACGGACCTGCCCGGTCTGCTAAGCGCTTGTGTGTGCAGGCAGGAGATTGACGAGAAGCGTGTTAAAGATCGGGGCGCGGAGCAGAAGGAAGAAGGCTTCGGGGCATAAACACTTAACATAATCAGAAAACATATATCTCTATAAAAAGTTAAATACAAGTCGCAGTGCGACTCACCACAACAGCAAATTGGAATTGATCAAAGCAGGAAACTGGAAATATGATGAAATGCACATCATCATGTTACTCGATTTCAACCAAGCATGAAACCAGCTGGCATCGCCATGGGTGGTTTTATCAGCTAGGCTAGGTTTGTTACATACATCTGAGATCATTTTCATTTCCTGGTGTTTGTTCCGTCTGGCTATCTCTTACCTACAACACACAGCTTGTGTGCTCCCTTTTAATGGAAGCCGTTTGAGAGGTTGCCGAAGAGCCAGCCAGCTAGCAGCCGCAGTCTTCACTGGAAACAGAATCACCATAGCCCAAGTTGCTTGCTTGCTTGCTATATATACGTTTCATAAGCCAAATCATATAATCACCAATACAATTGTGCCTCTCTCTCTGGAGAAAGATTTTATTCAGAATCCTCTGTTGAATTAAGTTCCCATGGCTTCTCAATCCAATGCCATCTTCTCTCTGCTCACCACTACTACTATCCTCCTCCTCCTCCTCCTTCCTTTCAATCTTAATTCATCCCTAGCATCCTCTTCTTCTTCCGAGCATTACATCATCTTCATGGACTCTGCCGCAATGCCAAAAGTCTTCTCAACCAAACACCACTGGCACCTGGCCATTCTATCCTCCCTGACTGCCGCCGGCGGCACCCCTGCTTCCTCCAAGCTGATTCACAGCTACTCCCACGTCATCGACGGGTTTAGCTGTACCCTGACAAGCTCGGAGCTGGACGCCCTGCGGAATTCCGACGGGTACCTCCACTCCATCAAGGACGTCCCGGTCAAGCCCTACACTACTCACTCCGTCGAGTTCCTGGGCCTCCGCGGCGGCGGTGGTTGCTCTGCCTCTGCAGCGTGGGAGGCGTCGAACTACGGCGAGGGCATGATCATCGGGCTGATTGACACCGGGGTGTGGCCCGAGAGCCGGAGCTTCGGCGACCACGGGATGGGCCCTGTGCCGGCGAGATGGAGAGGCGAATGCGCCCAATTCAACGCTTCCTTGTGCAACAAGAAACTCATCGGCGCCCGATCCTTCCACCTCCAGGGGGGAACGAACTCCTCCGCGCGCGACGACACCGGGCACGGCACCCACACCGCCAGCACCGCCGCGGGGAATTTCGTCGCCGGCGCGTCCTTCTTCGGCTACGGCCCTGGGACGGCCAAGGGAGTGGCTCCTCGAGCCCATGTGGCAATGTACAAGGTCCTTCAAGCAGACGAAGGTTTCGCCTCGGACACCGTGAAGGCCATCGATCAGGCGATCGAGGATGGCGTGGACGTCCTGTCCATGTCGGTAGGCCCGGGCTCGGACGACATCGTCACTTCACTGTACGACGACCCGGTCGCGATCGCGACGTTTGCAGCGATGGAGAAGAACGTCTTCGTCTCAATGGCTGGAGGGAACTACGGCCCGGATCCCAAGACGCTCGGCAACAGCAGCCCTTGGACGCTGGTGGTCGCGGCGGGGTCGACCGATCGCGAATTCAGAGCAGAGCTCCATCTCGGGAACAGAGGAGTCTCTGTTTCCGGGCTGTCCCTTTACCCCGGAAGCTACGTTTCGGCCCAAGCTCCGATCGTGTTCATGGGCGATTGCCTGAACACCACGACGGGCGAATCGTTGAAGGATAAAATCGTTGTCTGCCAAGAGAAGAACCAGACGCTCGGTCTCGGATACCAGCTGTCCAACCTCCTGAATTCCAGCGCGGCCGGAGCCGTTTTCATAGTCGGCGCCGAATCGCTGAAATCCTACGTCGAACGCCTAAACATGCAGACTTGGTTGCCGGCGGTGTTCATGACGTTGGAGGAAGGTGGGGAGGAGGTCAAGAAGTACATCAATTGCAGCAGCAAGAACGAACCACGAGTAGCGAGGTTGAGGTTCGGAATCACGAACCTCGACGGGAGGCCGGCGCCAATGGTTGCCGGCTACAGCTCCAGAGGCCCATCGCCGGCCTCCCCGTATGTGCTGAAGCCGGACATCATGGGCCCCGGATCCTTGATCTTAGCCGCGTGGCCTCCCACCGTCGAAGTCGCTACGGTGACGGACTCGAACCCTCCTTTCTACTCTACTCTGTACTCCGACTACAAAATAGAGTCGGGGACATCCATGGCCTGCCCGCATCTGGCGGGAGTAGCCGCGCTTGTCAAGAAGGCGCACCCCGATTGGAGCCCTGCTGCCATCCGATCGGCGATGATGACGACGGCCGACGCATTGGACCTGTCCGACGAACCAATCAAGGACTTCGGCACCCTAGGCAAAACTGCAGCCACCGGCTTGGACATGGGAGCCGGCCAGGTGAATACAAACAAAGCGGTGGACCCCGGCCTGGTGTACGACCTGCACGCATCGGACTACGTCAGCCTGCTCTGTGCGATGAACTTCACCAAGAATCAAATCAAGGCATTCACACGCTCATCATCCGCCGCCGACTGCTCCAACCCGTCGCTCGACCTGAACTACCCTTCGTTCATCGCGTTGTTCGCGAAGAAGAATTACTCCACTAGCTGTCAGCCGAGCAATCTGCAGGTTGCGGAGTTCCATAGGACGCTGACGAATGTTGGTGAAGCGACGGCCTGCTACAGAGCGGTTGTGACGCCGTTGAAAAGGTTCGTAACCAGAGTGGTGCCGGAGAAGCTGGAGTTCAAACATAAAGGAGAGAAGCTCGGGTACAAGCTTGTCCTGGAAAGAGTTGAGGAGGAGGAGTCGCCGCCGGCGGACGAAGAAGAAGAATTTGTTGCCTCCGGTTATCTGAAGTGGGTTGAAGTTGGGGGTACTCATGTGGTGCAGAGCCCCATCGTCGCCACGAATAGCAAATTTGAGCTATAACCGCCGCCGGCTTCGATCAATAATTAATACCCTCTTGTAATGAAACGGAAAGAAATAGTTGTTACTTGATTATTATGTAATGATTAAAGATCAATATCCTAATGAAATCAGACTCTATAAACAAGAACAAGGTGTAAAGTGCACTTTAATTACCACTTGACAAGCATACAGACAACCGCACTCTGTCAAATCAGCAGCAGAAGTTGCAGAACCAGAAAGCACAACTCTCTACCTAAACAACCCCTCAGAAAGCCAAACCACTTTACCAAAATGAAGTCGGAGACTAAAACGAGCTGAAACCTAACTGCCATATACACCACAAGCTTAGGAGGACACCATTACTGTTCTGACCAGAATTTAACAAAGGCGGAGATGAATGCTTGAAAAGCAGACCAAAGCAGGTTGGTTTACCGCTGCCATGACCTGCTGTCCACAAGCACAACCCCAGCCCAAAGACACAGCTCAGTTAGTGAGTACCCTGGACAACAAACTTCCACTAATTCCATTCGAGTTTCTGAACCTCAAATGCTTTACTTACATGGATATCTGGTCCCTGGCGGCCACCAGTGCTCGCAGAAGTTACATTTGGAGCTGTGTTTTTGCCTCGGTTCATGACACTTGATGCCTGCTATAGATGTCAAAACATAGCCCGACCCGATTAACCCGTCCGATCAACCCGACCCGCAACCCGACCGCAACCCGAATTGACTAAAAGTCAACAACCCGAAACCCGCCCGACCCGCAACCCGATTGACCCGCAACCCGACTAACCCGCAACCCGACTGACCCGCAACCCGATTAACCCGAACCCGATTGACCCGCAACCCGACTGACCCGCAACCCGATTAACCCGAACCCGATTGACCCGAATCCGACTAACCCGTAACCCGACCGACTCAACCCGAAACTCACTTAGTCCACTTAAATAATTATTCACACAATAATAGAGTCACAAACATGGGGACTTTCTAAGTATCAAATTGTGTTTTTGTTTGCAAATGAGGTCAGCTATTGATCCTCCTGTCAAATATTAAACTCTTATGCTTCCGTCGTACCCTTCAAGCCGCATGCCTGTACAGAAAGAGCAAATATGGTTTGGGGGTAGTTGGGGAGGGAGTTTTCCCTCGCTCATGGAAAGGAAATTGAAATTTTTGGATGGAAAACAAAAAAGCGGGTGAGGATCATTTCCCTCCTAAATTTTTGGTAATTAGTAGATGCCTAGATGGCGGTCACGGGAGGGAGTTTTCCCTCGCTCGGGAAAAGGAAACTGATAATTTTGGATGGACAAAAACAAAAAAGCGGATGACGATAATATACCAAATATCGAAATCTCAAATATCGAGTTACACTCTAAAATCAATCTCAATTCCTAAATAATTTTGATATTTTTACAAAATAAAAAAATCGGTATCCCAATCTCAATCCTTAAATATTTCAGTATCTCAATTGGTTCTTCGGTATCCCAATCGGTATTATGGACTACAAAATTAATTATCTTTGGAATTAATAATTAAATATATAATTTATATTTGATTGGAATAGGGTAATTTGGGTATTTTTGTGAAAAGAAAGAAGGAAACAAATTTGGCGTTTTCAATTTTTTGGTTTTTCATAATTTTAGCTTTTGAAATATGAATCTTTAACTTTTATATGGAGGGCATGACTAGTTAAAATTATTCTTATATGCTTTGAAGGCTAATAAGTATATGTATGTAATTGTTTATGGGCTAATAAATAAATTAACCATTAGTTATAACAATTTATACTAAACTTGATAAGTAATCTTTGACGGTTCGTTGTTTAGGATATAAAGTATATGGTTAGGGTATAGGGTATAATGTACATATGGTTTAGGGTGTATATGGTTAGGGTATAAGATATTGATGTTTTGACGGTTCTAAGTTTTTTATTAACATATGTTCACTTGAATCATTTGAAGTCTTTAACGGCAGGAGATCCCTTTTTAATTTTTGTTTATGGTACGTGGTTAGGGTACAAGGTATGTGGTGTAAAGTATAAGATATATGGTTAGGGTATAACAATTAGCAAATATCACTTTTTATCTATGTTTTGAAAATCAAAGTATGAATTTCACTTATAAATTAACTATACTAGCAAAATCACAACTCAAAGACATATGGTTAGGGTATAGGGTATAGGGTATAGGTTATGTGGTTAGTGTATAATGTATTGATGGTTTATGGTATACAATCAACAACATATACTAACTTAATATTGTTGATTGAGGGTAAGGCTAAGTGTATAGGATATATGTTATTGAGTAAGTTATGATTGAAGTCACAATAATTTTACTAAATTTGATAGCTAATCTTTAATGGTTCAATTTTTAGGATAATTCGAACAATTTTACAAATAACTCGTTTGACAACAGTTTACTGAAGTTATTTGGGCAATGGGTTATTTCGAAATAACTCATTTTATCACTATGCTTTTGCCAAATACCACACGCCAAATACCAGATTTGCATGGTTATACTAAACGAGATACTTTAATCCAATTACTACTAAATTAATACTAAAATATCAAATAAACAATTAATGGTGTCTTTTGGTTGCAAATATTGATATCACCATTACTATTAACTATAATACTTTACCAATCATGATTAATTACATAGCAAGTTTGCAAGTCATACAAATTGATTTAACATTTTGACTAGTTTTTTTTCAAAAAAATAAAGTATATATATACGAGGTAGAAATAAATTCGTTAAAAAGTTGAGAAAATATTTTAAATTAGTGTAATAAAATGTGTAAGTTGGTAATGAGTAATGAGTTAAGTTACTTGATGCGCTGGCCCGAACAACCCGAAACCCGATCCGCCCGCAACCCGCCCGACCCAAAACCCGATGAACCCGCCACCCGATTTGCCCACAACCCGATTGAACCCGAACCCGATGAACCCGCAACCCGACTAACCCGCAACCCGTTTGAACCCGAACCCGATGAACCCGAACCCGATGAACCCGCAACCCGACTAACCCGCAACCCGTTTGAACCCGAACCCGATTGAACCCAGCCCGAACCCGCCCGATTGACACCTATATGCAAAACCACATTCGTTATCAATATCTCCCCCCACTCTTGGAACTTGCAATAGAAAAGCACTGCAGATGGCGGAGCAATTGGGTCTCATGCTGGTTTCGTATTTCAAATTCTAAATACCAGCGATGCCATAATGCACCGCATTGAACATTAATGGTTAGGATAGATTGCCATTACACTTTTCCTCCTCCTATCCCGTGTAAATGCTCAATATTCTCTAAATTTAGGCTTGAAGAACGCAGTCCAATTATAGCATTCAAGTGAGAAGTGAACCAGAAATTGAGATTTATGTGAAAATGAATCGAAAATCAACCAACACAAAAAGGCCTTGCGAGAAGAAAGAAAATAAAGCAGCCTTGAGGTTCAATTATCTTGCTAGGGTGTTTTAACTGAGATATGTAAATGGTGAAAACTCACATTGGGAAGATGAACTCTAATAGAAGACCAAGAGAGAGCAAAGAGCTCTAATAAAAGAAGATTGAACTTCCACAGCTGCTTTCATTTGTTCATGCGATCCTTCAACTTCCAACGGTAGAGTATCCTGGATTGCATTCACTACCACATAGGAAACTGGCTTGTTTCCAAGTGATCCGGCTGCTTGGACCCCGGAAGATACTATTTCGGTAACGTTATTGTCTATTGAAGCATCAGTAGGTACAGATATGTCTTCAATTGGAGCCACTTCATTATGGATTTCTTGAAAGTCGTTGACCTCCTGCTTATCAGATTCTGGGTTCCCGACAACTACAAAACTGGCATTAAGGATTTGTCCAGCTTCAGCATTGTCATCAGCAAGCCAATGAGAACTGAGAGAAAATTCTTCATATTAACTGGGACTAGGACGTTGATCAGATTGTACTGTAGTTCCATTGGGTGCCAAAGCTGAAGAAGAATGATGTTCTGTGGATATTGTGCCCCGGGATACTGCTCTGACCACTCATGAAAGTCTTGCTCTGCGGGCAAAAACTTAGCAGGACCAAACACACGATTTTCTTGGATGATTTCTCGAACAATCTCACGGACTGTATAGAATGACCCACCAACTTCCTTGTGGGTGAGGTTAAGAGAAGGAAAGTTCCCATTGTTTAAACTCTGATACCTACAAGGAGAACCACCATGTCATTGCCGCAATCAGGTACCAAGTCTGCAACTAAGAGTGAAAAAAATGGACTGGAAAGACGCAACACATCCGGAAAATGGAGGGTAGAGACTTCCATATCTCTGCCACAAATTGTATATTTCATCCACAATTTACCACTAGGCCTTCAATTCAAGACATCAACAGACAAAAAGCAAGAGTACTTGTTGATAAGGAACCAGGATGTACTTCTTTATAATAAACAATTCAACCATGCCCTTACTTTCCTCCTTTGAACGGCGGATGCTAGACTTCCTCCCTCCAGACTCATTAGATTTGAACAGGGCGAACGTCTGGCCAACCCAACTTCCCTTTATAGCATGCATGATACTATATGCCAAGTCAAAGGTCTACGAGTACATAAACCTACAATGCACTTAATTAAGTCAGAGCAATCTCATGGCAAACTAGCTATACAAAGAAGACAGAAAGATGTACTAAAATTCAGAAATTTATTTGGCATATAGAACTGCAAGACAGCCATAGGCCATAGCCTCTTCGGTGGACATTTGAACAAGGATTTAGAAAGCTAACACTAGACTAGACAAACCAACTTCCACAAGGGCCGTGACTAGATGCCAGAAGCTCCACTTTTTTCCCACTCTCTACTCCACCATTTCCGAATAGAAAAACTTCTTGAAGTTTGATGAGGTTTGCAACCATGAAATGCAAAATGCCAGGCTTTACAGGAAGAACTTCCACTACCGCAATGCATATGAATTCTTTTCGGGATGCAAATGCAAATGAATTTCATCGATAGCCCGCCAACTGAATTCAAGTCATCCTAACTATGACGGCTAAAGCTGCCTAAAAACCCATTCAGGAAAGTTCCCAGAGCTCCAATGATAAACAACCCCCGCGCCGCCGGAGATTTCCTATAACTTCAGCTGCCTCCTAATCCACCGAAGCAGAACCCAAGAAAAACCTGAACACGAAATGTAGAAGAAGGGATTTGCGTGGTGGGTTACCTCTCGATTGTCGCAGAGACAGGGAGCAGGAGATTAGGTTTTGGGTTTTGCAGTCCACTCTAAAACCCTACAGTGAGTACACCAGAGAGAGTCTTGTTTGATTCGTGGGAGAATGACTGGTTCACTGCGACTGAAGTCGCGGTGGTTACAGAGTTACAGTCGTACAGCTATCTTCCATGGCGACTGGAGAGAAACAGGGGGGGGAGGGAGGGAGGGTCACTGATTCGGATCGCCGGATCCGGCCTACGAATTTTGCACTTAGACCTCCAATTTGGGCCCGGCTGGCCAGATAAATCATTACAGGCCCCAAAAGGGGGTCCGAAATGGGCCTCATTGCTCGTTATATCACTCACTTTTTGCAATTTGGGTTCAACCTTTCTCAGCCCGGCTGGCGGCTGACTCCGTGGAAAGAAATGGAAATGAGCCTCATTGCTAGTTTGAAACGGGTACCCAATCTTATCTGAAGGGGAAAGTCCATCCCATATTCCAAACCCGTTACCCATACGGAACGGATAACGGATACCCAAACTATCCGTATATATCGGTCAAACTAGTAGTAAAATCCGTGAACCATGGATGTTTAACACAAAATTAAACAAATACAAACCTAGTTAATAGTGAGAAGTCATCATCAGTATTTAAACCCAAATTGAACTATTAAAGAAAGTTAAAGAGAAGCTACTGGCTACTATCAAATAATGGGAAAAGGGGGATTGTCTATATAAGTATCATCTTTTTATACGAGATTATCTGGGATGTATTGGCTAGTAGTGTATATAATTGGTTATGTATGGTCTTTTTGTATACGAGATGTAATGGGGATGTATTGGTTAGCGATGTCTTATAATTGTTTATGTATGGTCTATTTTATAGGAAAGTTTTGCTAATGGGTATTATGGGTACCCATATTACCCAAACGGGTAGTAACGGGTAACCCGCGGGTACCCAATGTAGTAATCATTGATCCCAAGTCCCATCCAAAAAAAAATTACGGGTATTCCGGTAGGGGTGGGCAACGGGAAATGGGTATTTGGGTATACCCGTACCCGTCCCGTTTTTTAAGGGTTACGGGTACCCATATTACCCGTAATATTGTAAACGGATGGGACTTGTGATTGTACATTCCTAATATGGGTATCCGCGGGTTACCCGCGAATACCCGTTTGGGTAATATGGGTACCCGTTATACCCATTCAATACAAATGCAGAAATTTAATTCAACCCAACTCAATTCAAAACTCATTGGCCATTTCGGCCCTTACCCTTTCAATTTCAATTCCATTTGAGCCCTTACCCTTTCACTGACATGTTTGGTGAATTAGTAGAGAGAGTTGGGATGTGTTAAATGAAACTTTATTTTTTGTTGATAATTTGGTACTTGGAATGATTTATTTCTATGTGTTGTGATTGTTCATGAATGTGTAATTTGCAAACCAAGTATTTGTGATTGAGATGTATTTTGTGTCTTGTGAGTGTTAAGCAAATACAAGTTAAGTTTAAACTTTTGTTAAAATTTTAGTGGTTTAAACTTTGGGTATTTATGGGTAGTATGGGTACCCGTTATCCGTCTCGTACGGGTAATGGGTACCCGTTTCCCATATGAGTTTGGGATATGGGATGAATTTTGGTCTCCAAATGGGACTGGGTACCCGTTTAAAACGGGACGGGTATCTCGTCCCGTCCCGTTGCTCACCCCTATATTTCAGTACCCGTAAATTGTAACCTTCAAAAAACGAGACGGGTATGAGTATACCCAAATACCCGTTTCCTGTTGTCCATCCCTAAAAATGGGAGGACCACGGTCGATACAAGAAACCAATTTGGTTAATTGTACAACACGATATATATGCCAATCACGCCGTGGTTGAGACTTGAGAGGTTGTATCGTTGGTTTTCAGTCGGCAGTTCCCAAAATTAAATTTCAAGAACAACGTTTGCTTTCACCTTCTTTCACCCATTAAGTAGGATCTTTGTACACAGGTTCTTGTAAACAGGTCCATCGAAATTTTCACGGGCTATCTCTTTTTCATTTTCACTCATAGTTCAATATTTTTCTTAGTTCAGATAAATCAGATTAAATGTGTTTTTCAAAATGATATCCACTTTGATAAATTGCAGAACAAAAAAAGAGGCATTTATTACCAATCTATACCATGGTGGTGATTCATGGTATTATAATATCATATCACATGGTACGGAAGTGTACCATGGTGGTATGAAAATACGATAGTGTATAATGTTTGCGTACATGATAGTAGGAATATACTAAGTACTAACTGTAATTTACCATATTTCATCATTGTATACACATTATACCAGTGTGGCATGGGGTGGTATGTTTTGGTCCTGAATTTTCCCCCTCATAATTTTGTACTTTTGTAGATACAAAATCTAAGTTAAAAACGAAGGTGGTACCAAAGTGGTAAAGAGTGGTATGGAATTTTTTCTCGAAATATATTGAAAATGAATATCATTTTATATATCACAACAAACTCGTTCCATTTGTGGAAAAAAAATTAAAACTCAAATTATATGTAATTTTATTCAAATTCTTAGGATTTTACTTTTATTGCCTCAAATTGAAGCTATAATGAAGTTGTAATAAGCGGGAACGTAATTTTCTCGAATAATTTAACTAAGTTTATCATATTATGGTTTGTTTCTTATTTTTTTCAATGAAAAAATAAATCTTTCTAATGCTTTTCTTGTTAGTTACATATATACACATATGGATAGACCTGTCTCGACAAATGACCCGTGATAAATTATCCAATCTGAACCTAACATACAATAGCATGAGTATGAATATCAAGATAAACGTTCCGAATAGCATGAGTATGAATATCAAGATAAACATTCCGAACTAAATCTGTATCATTCTTATTTGAAGCCTCATATTTTCTTTGTCTCCTCCGCAAATGATATGAATGAGGTTTGAGGGTAGGGTGATCTTTCCATTGGAGGTTGGGAAACATGTGAGGGAAAATTAATCCCACACAAATCACAAACGCAGGAGAAAAAGGCCACAACCTTCCATGTGACAGTAGGGAAATGCATTTTCCACTAATTAATTGAGGCTTTCCTTGGTGAGCAAAGAAAGTGACAGCCAGTTCAATAAGCAAAATCCTAATGAAACAATACCATACTTATGAATTTAATTATATTCATGGATTAAGTTTTGTATTTAGTTAACACATTCTTAATACATATATGTAATTTCAGTTATTTCTTTGGGTTAGGTTTTGTATTTAGTTAGGCGAGGGTAACAAATCCTACCATACGATCATAGGAATTGAATTAATGTAAAATGTTGTCATGCGTGACGGGAAATGTTGACTTCTACAAATGAACATTCAAACCCAGTAATCAGGCAAAAACAGAAGATCATGAGCATCAACAAGCAAACTGGTGGAAACTTGATTACATATGCTTATTGAAATAGAGAATATTTGTCTTAGAAAATTTTGAAAAAAGTTTTTACTTATAATATGTCATTAACTATGCAAGTCCTTGGAATCCTCCAATTAAACTCACAAATCGAGATCGAATTAGAACATGAAAATATAAAAGAATAAAAATTAAAATAAGACAATTAAACCATTCAAATTGTACCATATGTGATAATATCCTTAATCCTTATGTGATTTCAATTTTAAGATATAGAAACTAATCTCATTTTTATTATATTCTATAAATTATATATTATGTTTTCAATAAAACGTTTCACATCAATCAAATGACGGATCAATATTAATGAAATCGTCCCTGAACATGCAACAAATGTCATTTGCTTTTGTACATATAAACCATTCACCTAACTAATTTTAATTAACAACTATGTATCAAAGGAAGTACATGGAAATCCTTTAAAAAATACTTAAAAGTCCTCCACAAAGACAAATGATATTTTTCAAAGAAAAAATAAAATTCAAAAAATAATGTGACAATAATCAAAGTATTGGTTTATTCTAACTCAATTAAATATCCATCACTACCCGCCGCAATGCGCGGGCCAATTATCTATCTAGTGTAGATATATAAAAGAAGCTTAATTAGTAATTAGTGGTTAAACAAGTGTCTCTCGTATAAATATTGCAATAAAGTGGAGGTGTAAAATCAACCCACCTACCTTGTACGAAATAAAATCCAGCAATATCAGCAGCCCATCAAAATCAAAGACCCCCTATTCTTCTGCAACGATTTAGTCAATAAACTCCGATCAATCTCTTGATTTTTTTTTAAGATATACTTATATTCATTCCCTGAGTTGTAGCTAGTGATCAACTACATATATTGCAATTTCTTAATCACTTTTCCTATTCAGCACAAAGACTACGTACTAAATCCTAAACTCTAAA